CGGGCAACACTTGCGCAATTGGTAAATGTAATTCCATTGAGACTCCACTGGGATTATGTTTCAATTATGATGAAAGATGGAAGGCGACATCCCGTGTATTTTGTGACCCAGTGTTTTTGACAACGTGCATTAAAGAGACCTATCAATACTTGTGATTCATTATGAAAGCATAAAAAAAGCTAAATGAGTACAGCCTGTAGAAGCTGGGGCTATAAACTTTATATAGGTTATGTTTATAACGATGTCCTGTATTTCGCTTCAGATGTTTGTTCGTAGTAGCAGAAAAGAACAAGTTTTCAGTTTATTACCAAAAATAACAAAGAACCTCCCGAATATTCCCAAATCTGCCAAACTCTGCCACATTTAATATAACTTATCATGTTCTGCAGCAATGAAAATGGCAGAAATCTGCCACAAATGGTCACACTGTTTTCAATATCAATGTGACATTGACATTGGCAAGAGGTCTCTTGTCAAAACGTTCTTTTGCTACTTTCATTATCTCCCATTTAAATATTGTCTAAATATTTTTGAGTAATTAATAGATTCAGGCGTTACTTTAAATATTTTTGTCACATTGTGTTTATTTTTTGCTGTACATCATTACTGTTTAATTGATTATTTCATTAGGTATTTTATAGCTTTAATTATTTATGTGTGTACTATAAAATAACCTGTACTTCAGGTAGGTCAACATTCTATCATGCTTAAAGTGAACCGCAGTTACAAGAACGTTACCTAATCTATGGTCGAACTAAATCAATTGCGTTGTGTTCTTGCATCTATTCTATACAATATTTTAAATTTTTTTTATTAATAACTAGGCACAAACTAAAACCCAAAATTATACTAGCAGAGTCCATGAACGGCTCTTCGTCGTTATTGCAGCTTCGCCATCCTTCTTTGTTATTTTGCTAAAATCGAGTCCCAATAGAATGTCAGTGAAATAGCAGTGATTATTAATTCATTGCTAATAAAAAGATGGCTTTCATGCCATTATTCGCAAGAGGGCGGCAACGCTAATAGCATCCTAGCCGTTGTTGCCACCACCCTGGCCTGCCCCTACCAACGACATTGGGTACAACTACTCTATAACTGGGTGGCATTTTCTCTAGTATTAAATCTTTTTGTATTGTACTAACCATAGCACTTTAGAAAAAAAAATACTAACAGTAGTATGGATCATGGTTGGAAATAAAATAAATGTATTCTATTAACGAAAAAAAGATGATAATTCATTCATTCATTCATTCATTCATTCAGTGACAAATTATCGATGTCGCCCTACTAAACCTACCATGGAAATTACTATGTATATCTTAATTTTTGTCAACAATTTAGTCATCAAATGAAATATATTTTGTAGATATTTAAATGAAACTAAAATTAAAGTTTAGTTTACGTTTGAACAAATCGACATTCTGTAATTAAGACCATGGTACCATTTTGGTTTCGGTATATTTTAGGCTAAATTGACAATGGAAGTTAACTTTTGTAACGAAATTGCACATAGCAATTGTGTAATGTACATGCTAGATACGATACCGTAGCTTCGAAAATTCCCGCATATATATTTCTTATAAATTTTATTGTCCATTCTGATACGACCAACTTTTACGATAAGTGACAACCTAGTTTAAACCTTAATGTGCCACGTGCCAATTTTACGTATATTTTGTAGGTATAACGCATACGGCGGTTGTACCGCTCGACCTAGTGAAGTGCCGGCTGCAGGTGGACCCTGACAAGTACAAGAATGTCGTGAACGGGTTCAAGGTGTCCGTCCGGGAAGAGGGCATGCGCGGGCTCGCTAAAGGATGGGCGCCTACTTTCATCGGCTACTCTCTTCAGGTTGGAATTGCCACTGTTTACTGCGCTATGATTGTTCTATTGAAATTGGTCTAGACGCATCATACAACCTCACTTTTGCCACAAATTGTCATAAATGCTACATAACAGACGACCTCGGTTGGAAAAAAAAATTTTTCAAAATTGATTCTCGCCGTAGCCTAACATGGTTTATAGGTCGTAGCATAATTGTATAACCGCCGCTCATCTAGAGGCCGTGAGTTCGGATCCGGGCTCGAGCAATGAATTTCGGTGAATCTACAACAGCTTGCCTTCGAGCAACGTCTTTTTAAGCTAATAAGTATGGGGACACCCTTATGCCATTTTTATAAAATTTATTTTTGATAATTGTCATTTAACATTAAAACTTTTTTTATATATAAACACCGACCTATAAGGTTTGCGATATCGCATCTATTTATTTGTCAAGTTTGATTGAAATTGGTTAACGGAAAGTGGGTAAAACCCAATAAGCTGGACTCATCCTTTAATTTGCCGCCCTTAGAGATCTAATATTTTCGTCAAATTTGAATGGGTGGTCCCAAGTACTGCGGTACCCTCTTTCAAAAAAAAAAAAGAATCTTCGAAATCGGTTCACGAATGTCGTTGTAATCGCGTAACATACACAAAAAAAGCAAAGTACAGTCGAATTGAGAACCTCCTCCTTTTTTTGAAGTCGGTGAAGTGTTTTAATCGAGATTATTTTCCTCAATGATTAAACTATTTTATCCAATTGTTCCTACTGAACAATTATTGATGAAACTTCTTGATTATGAGTTACGAGAAAACAGTATACATCTTATGCGGAAAACAGTATAAGACAAGTTTGTAATCAGTTGAAACCGACAGGGTCTGTGCAAGTTCGGTCTCTACGAGGTGTTCAAAGTTGGCTACTCTGGCCTGCTAGATGAAGAAACGGCGTTCACCTACCGTACGATATTGTACTTGGCCGCTTCTGCTTCAGCTGAGTTCTTTGCTGACATCGCGCTGTCGCCGCTCGAGGCCGCGAAGGTAAGGGACGTTTTATACTTTATTTTTGTTGGATGCTTCTGTGCGGGATACACCTATGACTGGTTTCAAATCAAACAACGATTGTATATACTGTGTACATCTGGAGGCTGGCTTTTGTCTGGTAAGGTTGGCTGCTGGCTCTTCTTCGGGTTTTCCTACGTATCTCGAGCTTAGGCTGTTTTTGGACTGTGTATCTATTGGCGCCTTTTATAGGTGAGCGAGCCTTCCTTTTCCCGCCAAAAGTTACCTCACCCCCTTTGTACTGTTTATTCGTCTTTCACACGTTAATCTATTACAAATACTTTTTTATTATACATTTCTTACTGCTAATTTGTACATAACGTCTTAAAAACTATATAAGTGGTACATAACAATCTCAGTCAACCGCCCGCAGGCGATTTGTGCCGGGCGACCTAAGTAGGTCCCTACCCTGCCCCCCGCTTCAGGTGTATAAGTATGCGCTGCGCATGCGCTTATCTGCGCGCGAGTCGGATGAAGCAGGCATATTCTCTATTTTACTCACCATTCCAACTAAATACCTGTTTGATCTTATTGGAATAAAACGAAACACATATACAAACTTTATTTCTACTACTTAAGACTATTACAACCATAGATATACAAAAAAAGGGGAGATATGGTATGGGGGCGTGATTCGCGTCGCCTCGATGTGGTCAAAAAGACCATATCGAGGTTACACGCCTTCAAACATCGCCACAGTGACATGGCGATCGTTGTACATACAAGATCTCTCTTAAAACGTCAAAATGCCAAGTTGTAGCGATACACCTTGTAAAACTTGGAGTGAAAACAAAAATTTTAAAACCAGTATATAATATAACGCCATACTTAATACTATTCCGCGGACTTAATACCACTCGTTGAGTACAGCCGTACCGAACAGCTTCTGCTTAGAGTGGTTACACACGACGACTCTTAGCAGCGACGCAGACGCGATTGCATCGCTACACTTGCGATTCATAGCAATCGCGCCTTTTTTATCGATGTAACGGCGCGCTTACATCGCTGCTTAAAATCACGCTTGTGTGTAAAGGTAAACGATTAGCGATTCCGGCTAAACAGTCACTTAATTTACATTCGAAAAAAAATGTAGAAAATTAATTAAAACTAAGAAAAACGCATTCGATCCGGCTAGATTCGAACCAGCAGGTCGATTCTGAACCTTACGATAACTTTGTTGTCGACCGATTCGATTAGATATCATACGATTTCTTTTCATTTTTATTCACAATAACCGAACCGAACGTCAAACTGTCGTATTCGAAACCGAACCGAAATGACGTCACACCCGCACTACTCATACTTCTCGACCGGCAAACGCTACAAACGTTACTCAGAACACAGTTGTCGAATGAAAGTTACTGAACGACCTAATGTTTACAAAGCTAGAATGTAATATGATAATCCTTTATTACTTTCTTCTTCTTTTAAATGTTATGGCTCCATCGAAATAATCAATGATTTTGCCAACAAAATAAAATCTGGTTTTTTTTTTCAATTTTATTAATTTATTTTAATGCAAGACTAATGCATTCCTATATTTTAGGCCTTTATAGTCTTTAACATGTATATAAAAGGATTACTTTTTTTTTTTATAATCTGTATTCGCCGACTTACTCCATAAACGTTGTTGGATAACGATATAGTATCCGAATCCGAATCGAACGTTTAACTCGAATGTTCTGAATAACTCGGAAAGCGCCCTTCGATTCGAGAACGATATCCAAGCGAACGATTCGGTTAAAATATCGAAGATTTCTGAATCGGGGTCCTTGGACCCTCAAGCAAGCCGTTTGTTATAGTAGTAAAACATAGTGACATTCTATAAACTTAAAAATTACAATTAATAAAGCGATACACATTTCTAGTCAGCGTTGGTACCTGTAAAGGTACCTCTCTGAGTGAAGAATTACTTTATTCACAGATGGCGCTACGGCAAAATAGTCGTTAAAAACCTAACAACAAAGATCTGCTAGAAGCGCATAGAAAAATTCGTAAGGTCTGCTGGTTCGTTCCGTGGCTTAATTGGCAGAGCATCTGGCACGGATTGCCTGAGGATGCTGGCTCGAATTCAGCCGGATCCAATTAGTTTTTTTTAGTGCTTCGATCTTTGTTATAATAATAAAAATAATTTAATATCATGCTAGTAAAACATCGTGACATTCAATAAACTTAAAAATGATTTTTTTCATCTAAACCGAATATATTTGTTTTACAAACCTGAACCAGCGATTGGGGATCTTCACAATTTCCATGGTCACGGCTGAGGAACGAACAATTACTTGGTGTCAGCGAGAATTTTCGTTATAGAAAGAAAATTATATTGTTCTCACTGCCGATGTTATTTGCTTGAACAATTGTTTCTAACAAAAATCTATTATCGCCAGGTCCGCATCCAGACTATGCCAGGTTTCGCGACCACTTTGCGCGAGGCGTGGCCCAAGATGGTGGCCAACGAGGGCTACGGCACCTTCTACAAGGGCCTAGTCCCACTGTGGGGCCGACAGATCCCATACACCATGATGAAGTTCGCCTGCTTCGAAAAGACGGTCGAGATTCTTTACAAGGTCAGTTCAAATCAGTATACCTTAACATTTTAATAACTTATTTAATAATCTCAGTACAGAGTACTAAAAAACCGACCTCAAAAGTACGTGGAATTACATCTATTTGTCAAGTTTTTTTGAAATCGGTTACCGGAAAGTGGGCAAACCCGGATTCATCCCCTAGTTCGCCACTATACGGGACTTGACATTGGAGATAATAAAAATCGGTTCTCACTACTCAAAGTATTGAGAGAGAAAAACGCCTTGAATTAGAGAATAGCAAAATCAACCATTAAAATAATTGCTCCTTATAATAAAATTTAGGCGCTATATAAATAGAAGAAATTGAAGATTCATTTTTATAAAAAAATTTAAAAATGAAATTTGTATATACAATCCATTTTTTGCACTTCAGTAACTTTGTGCTTTAAGATACGATGTTGTATAATATTTATTATTATTTAAGATTTTAAAAAAATAGGTTATGTAGCTGTCCATTGAACCAAATAAATGTGATTTCCTATGTGTTTTCAGTACGTTGTGCCTAAGCCACGCGACCAATGCTCGAAGGCGGAGCAGCTGGTGGTCACTTTCACGGCGGGCTACATTGCCGGCGTGTTCTGCGCCATCGTCTCCCACCCGGCCGACACCGTTGTGTCCAAGCTTAACCAGGCAAGTACACCCAAGTGTGCGGAATGTTATACAACTATACAAAACAGATCTTTCCACATTCATAGTTCAAATATGGAATATTAACCACTGCCCACCTATTTAGTTAGGGTGCGTTGCCACTATGTCGTGACGACAGATTGTCGTGCAGTTTACAGTGTCGTGGCTTGTATATTTAAATGAAGTTGTTCACATATAGCACGACACGATTAACTGTCGTTCACGATTTTTTATCATTACAACTACAAACTCGTCATAGTGGGAACAGCTAGAACGACAGTCGTCAGACGATAAAACGTGACGACAGATTGTCGCAGCTCCTATTGTAGTCACGATCTAGTGGGAACAGCTAGTTACGACAGTCGTTCAACGTTAAAAAATCGTCCACGACAAATAGTCGTGATATGGGAACAGGCTAGACTCAACAGTCGTCCAACGATAATAAATCGCGAACGCGCCCTTAGTTAGTTAGTTAGTTAGTTAGTTAGTTAGTTAGTTAGTTACGTTAGTTGTGCAATGCACAACGGGAAGTGAGCATTCATTCCAACACCTGGAAAATAAGGAGGGTGGCATACTGCTCACTTAGGCAAGATAAAAAAATGTCAACTCCCACCACCGCAAAAAATAATTGAAAACCATCACGCGCACGAATTGTCCATCCCGTCACTTGATATTATAAAAAAAAATTATCACAAACAATCACGAGGAAAAAATATTATTAGTAGCACCTGGACAGCATCAACACCCCCCTAAGTCTCTTTAGCGCCCACTGGAGGCCGGCGGGGACCACTTTGGGAAACTATACTCTAGCCTTTTGAGAACCGTATGAAGTCAGTGACAACGCTGTACACGGGCTAATCCGGGGTCAGGACCTGAACTTAGAAGTGCTTGTACTTGGTATGGATAGGTTGAGTTCAATGCAAAGCTTAAATGAGACAGTTAGTCTAGTCTAGTCGCTAGGGGGCGCTGTTCACATAGATTGCCATCCTCGCAGCAGAAGTTGTGAACGAGTTCGTCCAGGGAAGTGCTGCCACCTTACGTGTTTCTGCTGCCAAGAAGTAATGTCAGCGTTACTGTATTCCGGTTTTAAAAGGTAAGGGTGCCGGTGAAATTATAGGCACATGGGACTTGTCAACTTTACGCGTCACCCGCGGGCCACGAGTCGCGACGCTCAAAAACAAATATGTGATTGTATTTGTAAAAGGCCACAAAGTAGCGCTATAACTTGCAGCGAAAGTCGCGCGCGTTATGCGGGCGGCCAGAACAATTGTATGAGAAAGTCCCATAGTGTACACGAAACAGTCGCTCCACGCGCCCCGACAGAAGCGGTCGTGCCAGCGTTTAAAACAAATTATTTTGTTTTTATTGCTCATCGCTATATCGAAATATGAATACAGAAGAGTTTATGACGGCAGTACAAGATCGGACTGCGTTGTGGATCAGTTCACATCCACAACATAAGATCAGGACTGTCGTAAAACATTTGTTGGAAGAAATTAAAATTCTTTAGAATCTTTAGACTTCCCACATAGCGCCAATCCCCAGAAAATCCCCAATCTCGTTGAAATTCTCTATAAATTGGCAACGCTGGTATTTTGACGCTCTCACCCAATGAGTGGCCCTAAGATCTTTGCGATTTAAAGCTCAGATGTACATTGCAACAGTTATGTGACGGGCATCAACTACTAAAAAGGGGACAACTTCTTTTCCCGTCATTCGGTATCATAAACAAAAATTTTGTTCAAACGGCTTCAATTCGTTTGTAAAAAAATCTATTCTGACCCAAGACCCAAGCAAAGTGAACCGTGTTCATCATCATCAAGCAGCCTCTACTCCATCCGTCTTCGGATATGCGCCTCCTGCATATCTCTCCATTTATGTCGCTCCCGTGACACATGCATCCAGTTGCGGCCCCCGAAACTTTTAATGTCATCCACCCAACGAAGTGGTGGACGACCTCTGCCGCGTGTGTTGGCCCATGGTCACCACTCTATGATCCTTCTTGTCCGCCGAGCTGGATCCATCCTAGCTATGTGTCCTGCCCATTTCTATTTCATCGTCTCAATATTGCGTACAACGTGTAACCAGCCCGTTACCCTAAGTACGGTAACTTTCCAGCAATGTTGACATTTGATTTGTTTTCACTTGCAGGACGAAACAGCCACTGTGGGCAGCATCATGACTAAACTAGGCTGGGCGGGTGTATGGAAGGGGCTCGGACCCAGGATCGTCATGATCGGTACCCTCACCGGGCTGCAGTGGTTCATCTACGACGCAGTCAAGGTAAATAGCCCTTATCATTATAGACTTAAGTTTGATAACTTTGGACATTCGCCAAGAATGAATAACATTTATCACAAGTTAATTTCAGTTTTTCAGTAGATATTTTATGAGATGCATGTACCAAATATGCTTCAGGCCCAAGCCCTCGGGCCCAGGTCCTATAGAATATATAGCGGTCAATTTCAATATAAAATATATATGTATACACGGGGTTAAAATACATTTTGAAACTGACATAATAATTTGAAAAAGTTATTGTGACGGATTTATTTATTTTTTTATTTAAAGGAAGATCAATAGCTTAAAACTAAATTAAATTTTAAATTCAATTAAAGTTCGTCATAAATAAAAATGTGTAATAAGGAATCTGGGTGCACTATTTATCTAACTTATTATATAAAACATTAAAAAAAAACACAGAAGTTGTAAGCTTCATTAAGAATCAAAGAAGTGCTCTCATTGCCGAAATCACACTCGTTTGAAAAGATCCAGATCAAAAGTATTACATAAAATGTTAAAATTATTGCTTGCACGCCACATCAACTCGTTTTGCCTGTATTTAGTTCGGCCAGAGGTAGAACCAAAAGTGAATAGTTTCTAAGATGCTTAGAGGAAACTCTCAGTGATAATTGTGACAGCAATTCCGGACAGTCAATAGAGACCGATGCTATTTTTAATAAAAACTTGAAGTCCCTAACATCACGTGGTAGGAGATGCTTCCTACATCCTTATCCAATGGATAGTGTAAATCTATACGTCTAATCCCTGATTATGGAAAGGCAAAAGGCTTGCACATTACCTGATATTATTTCACTCGCTCGTTAATAAAAATATATGTTATTGTCTTTTAAAAAGTGTAACCACAATACACGTAGACACTGGCAGAATTCTCCAAGATAATCCAGAAGCTAAATAAATTGTTAGGAAATGAAATTGTTTTTCCGGATTTAAATCATAAATTTGATTTTTCAAATAAACCGACGTTTCGGGACCTTTACAGGTCCCATGGTCACGGTTGACTGTTGGTTTGGTTTGACGGATGGTTTAAATCCGGATAAATGGTTACATTTCCTATGTGTAAAAACCTAAGAACGCGAATACCTAAGAACTCGATAAATAAATTGTTTTTTTTTTTACTATGTGGTAGATCTACTCATAGATTGGTCGAGTCTAATATGAACATTTAGTATGCGAATATTTTAAAAACTAGTTGAATATTTGAGATACTAGCTATTAAAATAGTTTCAGTGTATTTTGTTCTGACAGTATACAACAGTCACATCATCATCATATCTTCTACTGGGATATGCGGGGACTACGGATGTAGAATGCGATCTCATCAATGATTAATCAAAATAACCAATTGTTCCTACCGACATAGCAACTGTGGACATTTTTTTAAATATGAGATGAGAGAAAGCTTCCCGACGCTGCGTTTTTTCTATTATCATTTTACACTAAAATAAACATTATCCACTTGCAGGTATGGCTCAGGATGCCCCGACCGCCGCCACCTGAGATGCCCGAATCAATGCGCAAAAGACTAGAGGCGGAAGAAGCCGCAAAGGCAAAGTAACTTAGCCTATAGTCTAGCGAAAATCGTACAAGCTTCTCGCCGATTAAAACAGAACATGTCAATGCTGAAGAGTTAAGTGGCCATGTAACTAACATACTTTGAACTATGTACAAGCGATAGAAAGAAGATTGTGTTTATATTGTAAGTTAAAAATTAATTTTCTTCATGTAGGTAGGCAAGTGAAAAATTATACAATACGTTCAAAACTAGACTATATAATGTTCCAAGTATAGGTCATGTAAAGGTCCCTAAAATTAACATTTATTAAATTCTTTTTTTGGAAACAAAGGCAGGGTCCCCACGGACTTAAACGATGTGAATAAATTATAACAGAGGTTCAGGTATTTTCCCCGTTACGACAAAGAAATTGGAAGGGGTTGAATTATATATTGTAATTATGTTTATGGTAAACCATTTTACTGTTGCTATATATAAAATATGTAAGATGTGAATGATATATGAATTCGTGTTTCGAAGTTTGTAAGTTATCATAATAAAATTACAAATTGTAATTTCTTGTATCTAAGTTAGAGATTGGCCTGTTAGCTCTGGAAAGGGTTTTGCAGTATTGTTACCACTGTTTGGAGTAATTGTTTAAAAAAACATGAAATGAAAACTAAAGCATGTTTGTTACGTGGGCGAGATGGCTTTCAAATGGTTCAACACACACACACCAAAACTGTGTATATTAGATTCCCATTGTGATTGTATTAACTGATTTAAGTGCGATAATCATGTTAATTTATTTTCAAAAATAAAATATTATTTTTATTTATTTTTCTTGTTTTTGTGTATGGTTTTATTATGTGTGTATGTTTCGTATGGACATTGCCCTTGAATTGTAAGTAGTTTATTTATTATGTCTTAATTAATTATATATATAAAAAGTTGAACCAATCAACATGTATGTCAGAGACAACGTTTGAAAGGATAATAAAATAAGTAGTTAAATATTCGATTGTTTCAATGTAGCATGTCTACTACTGTATTACATAGCAAACGACCGCCAGATATAAATAATGCGAAATACATAAAAGTAGATACTGCTAATTTATAAGGAACTATTTTGACTTATTTGTAAAAAACCAACAACGAAAACCATTCTTCACCAACAGTGGCATCTAGCGGCGAAATTGGTAACCACCAAGTTAAAAGACAATGAAATGACTTAAAGCATTTTTAATTGCGTCATACAACTATAATACATCGCCATAGTGCCAAACTATAAGAGAAAAAAAAACTATAATACATACACATGCTGTAGTTGTATGTTACGTATATGTGTATATATACGAGCCCTGTACCCCACCTACGGTGGGGCGGGCTCGGCCTGCGGCGCGTGGTCGGTTTCAGTTTACGGGGTGTGCTCATGCTCTTCGGTGGCACAGCAGTTAATACTATGGGCGCTTGATGAGGAGGTCGATTCCCGATTTATGCCAATTTAAGAAACGAACATTTCTAAGTTGGTTTTGGTCTGAGTATTCTGGGTTATCGTTGATTTGGTATTCATAGTACCTACATAGTACTGGAAATTCGGCAGTAGTTTGGCATTTTTTCCCCCTAAATACTTCTCTTTGTCATAGTTTTCAAGAAAATGAAATCTAACATAGAGACGGTTGAGATACAACAGCGCTATAATAAGTATCTCATTTCCACTACATCGGGAAGCGTGCTTTACATTTTTACAATTGTGAGATCTTGTACTCGTAATCTATTACGTCTCCGTATATTATCTCCATTTGATGGCGTGCGGACGCTTCGGGTTTCGCCCTCCGCGGACCTCGGTACTTATGGCTTTGTTTTAAAAAAATTTAAATAGCTATTTAATGGCGGCCATATTTAAAAATTGCAAATATATATTTTGACCACTAATTATTATCAAATAATCTTAGAAATCTTTTCGTGCCAATTTCCAGTCCGAGCAAAGCAAGTTCTTTCAATAACCATTTACATAAAAAATTACGGCTATATCGAAAAACGGCAGAAACAAAAGTTTTACCCCAAATTGTGATTGAAGCCATGCCATTTTCAGTCGAATTAGAAGAATTTTTTATCTACCGCCAAAAAAGTTTGTACGGCAGCCAAATTGAAAAATAGCGAAAAATAAATTTTGACCGCTAATTATTATTAAACACTCATAGAGACCCCGACATGTCCACTTTCAATCGAATTAGAGCAAATTTTTATCTGCGGCTAAAAAAGTTTATTGTCATTATGCTTATTTTCAATATGGCTGCCGTACGGCAGTTTTTTTTCGGCCGCCATTTTGAATTTGCCATCTTGTTTTTTTTAACCCAGGCAGTGGACCACTATTAATCTCTATGACATTCCTTCGAGCACCTACCTATCTCTAATAGTTTCCGTGATAGGAGGCTTTGAAATTTGTAGGGCGGCTATCTTATTTATTTGAATTTCATTTTCATTTTATTTATTCATTTCGAACATCTTTTACTTCCGGCGGAAATTGACCAGGGTGTACCTCATAAAAGTGCACAAATATTCCGTCCATATATTATAGTTTTTGCAGGCCGTTGATCACTCTTTCATATTTTCCACATTTAGGTGTTCTCATATTTGATTCTTTGCTTTGGAATCTATCCGCGTACAACGGTATACATATATTTTTTCCACCATATCGGGAGTTTTTTTTTTTTTTTTTTTTATTGTGACTCGGCAAAATGACTGCACCGCGCCTGATGGAAAGTGCGAATACAGTCCAGAGATGAGAGTAACGGATGGAAAACACAAATATCTTCACTCCGTCACTATCATTTTGCCGGTCTGGCCAAATGCTTCTTCACACTACGTTTGAAGGACCCGATGTTATAGAGGGGAGGGAATAGAATATTTCAAGCGGTAGTGGAAGAGCGGGCGGATGAGTCATGCATCGATCACCTGTGGGTGCGAGTGAGACAATGCGGCCTCGGCATGCATGCTGCGCCTGCGACTGCGTTTGTTATCGAAAGTGGTATATCGGATCACCACATTATAGGTATTGCATTAAATTTGAATATTAAACGTACTTGTGATGAAAAGTGTGGTGACCGTAAATTAGTGCGAGATAAGCTTACTACGTACGATTGGTCTCAACTGTTAAGTGTTATGTGTCCTATAATGTTGTATCAGCAGTTATTTTATGTGTTTAATAGTATTTATGATCAATGTAAATTTGAAAAGTCGGTTAGTCATAAACGGGAAACTCAACCATGGGTGACTCGAGATTTGTATAAAATGCTAGTTAAAAGGGACACGTTATTTAGAGCATGGAAAATGTCACCTCATAATATGAATAAAAGGCTTGAATACACAAAATTTAGAAATAGAGTAAATAAATTAATTAATACGGCAAAAAATAAACATAGAAAATCGGAGATTTTAAATTGTAAAGGGGATTACAGGAAAATCTGGTCAAATATAAATAATTGGTTGGGGCGGGTAAAGAGTAGTCTTGATAGTATAATTATGAAATACTTAGGTAAAACAGAGAATGTATACAATATCTGTTGTGAATTTACCAAAACATTTACTAAAGAAATATTAACTATTAAGCATGTATGTAATATTAAGTTTTTACACAGACGATCGTATGTAACCAAAAATAACGTCTCTTTTAGATATGTAAAAGTCACACTGCACGATATTGAGAAAATAATTAATACTCTAAGTCCTGTATTAGCAAACTTTATTAACTTAAGCCTATCATCAGGATTATATCCAGACTTGTTAAAAAAAGCCATTATACGGCCGATTTATAAAGCAGGTAGCCACTACGACTATACAAATTATAGGCCAATTGCTATTTTGTCTGTCATTAACAAAATCGTCGAAAAAGTAATTGTCGGTCAAGTCAGTATGTTTTTGGAGCGGCATAACTTATTAACAGACCATCAGCATGGGTTTCGGAGAGGACGCAGCACAGCCACGGCCTTGACCCATTTTTCGGAGGTGATTAACGAAAGCTTAAATAGTGGGAAACAGGTGCTATGCCTTTTCATTGATTATAAAAAGGCATTTGATACCCTTGACCATAATGTTTTAGTGCAAGCTATGGAGGAATGCGGCATTGGCGGACCCACAAACGCGTGGTTTAAAAATTACCTAACCAATAGAACAATCCAAACCGCGATTGGGGGTACTAAAGGTGCTGAGGCGAGGGTGACGCTCGGCGTGCCGACCGGCTCGGTGTACGGGCCAGTCGGTTACATAATGTTTGTAAACAGTGTCGTTAATGTTGTGCAAAAGTGCAAGGTTTTTATGTATGCCGATGACATGTGCCTATTTTATGCTTCAAAGAATATGGAAGAGGCACGCTGTCAGCTGCAAAATGATTTTAAAAACATAATAAAATGGGCACATGACAATGGCATCATAATTAATGTAAAAAAAACCAAGTGCCTACATATATACTCGCCATACAACCGAATAGCTAAAACAGTGGATTATACACAGATTGGCATTGTGGGACATACTTATGACTGTTTGCATAGGAATAAATTAGACTGTGATTGTGCATTTCTAGATTATGTAGACCGATGTAAATACTTAGGCTTACTAGTGGACCATAACTTCAATTTTAAATTTCATATAGAAGAACTGTGTAAGAAACTAAGAATAGTGCTGGGCAAAATCTATCAACTGAAAAAAGTGGTGAGTAAAGAAGTATTATTAGTTGTTTACTACGCGCTGGCGGATTCATTAATTAATTACGGGTTAAATGTGTACGGCCGCACCTTCAGTACCTACATAAAAGACATAGGGAATCTACAAACTGGATTAGTAAAATATTTAGTGGATAGCAAAACGAAAAACATGTACAATGACTACAGTAAGTTATTTCCAGTTTGTAAAATTTTACCTGTCGAAATGAAAATTAAGTACCTTATATCTTTAGAAAACTATTATTTAAATGAATATAAATGTCCCGTATCTAACAGATATAACACCAGGAGGGTAAGGGAGGGAAAGTTTATACAGCCTCCGGTAGTTAACTATTACGGAAAAAGGTTAAATAAATATTTAGTGCCCAGGCTTTTTAATGATATAGGGTGGTTAAGAGATAATCCCAAGCTAAATAAGTCGGTCCTTAAAAAGAGACTAAAAGCCTACCTTTTGGAAAACA